ATAAATAAACATGACAGGAACATTTAACAACTCCTGCTACACAATGCTATCGTTGGAGCACTCACCAAGGTGCCGGGAGCACCCGAGGAACTTTCCGTACATTGTCATCTCACTGCGCTCTCCTGACCACCCAATCAGGTGGCACCATTATTATCCCTGTTTGACACATGGGGAAACGGAGGCACAGAACGGCGCCTCAGAAAGCACTTGCCCAAGCTCACCTGGGTAGGGAAGGACCAAATTCAAACCCAGAGGCCAGACCGGGCCAACGGCATCCGTGCCCCACACCGGCGGTGTGTGCAGAGCATGCAAATACACAGGAGGCCGTCCCCCCTTCCTCACGGGTGCGGCGTTGCTGGCGGCATGGGCTGGAGTCACCTTGGTTTTCAGACAACCCTACTCCAGTGCTCGCCACACAGGGGCAAGATGGCGTCCCGAGCAGGGCTGTCATCTGAGAAATAAATGCCCCTTCTATCAGACCTGTGTGCCCAGGAACCGTTTCTCAAACACACCCCTGATCGCAACACCATTTCTCTCAAGCCCTCCATGGCTCCCCGCTGCCCGCAGGCCCGGATCCAAGTGCTACAGCATTCTGGTCAAGGGCAGGACCCCGCGATGTGGCTGTGGCCTTGCAGTCAACACCCTGGGTTTGGAGGGTTTGCCCGTGACTTGAACCCTGGCCTGCTACGTGCCCGCGTCTCTCTGTACGTGTGGTTAATAACAACCCCACCTCACTATGGCGCAGTAGAGTCAAATGAGTCAGAACTCACGTGACCCCGGAACCGCACTGGGCAGCTCGAGTGGGCAAGGGAGCAGTTCTGCCCGGCCACACTGACCTCCGGGCCCCACAGCCTCTCTGACTTGGCCCGCTGCCCCAGGCTGACTTAGCAGCCTTCCCTTTGTCCTGTGGTTCCCTTCTGGCATTGTCCATGCCTCCCCATCCGTTGGGAGAGTCAAGAGCTCCCTACGCACCAGGCGGCCCCTTGCTGACTTCCCCCCCAGGCTCTGTGAATGAGTGCTTCCCAAATGGCAGGAAGATTCAACACTGAGTGTGGTCGCTGGAGGGAAGTTTTCAAGGAGGGTCAAGAAGAGGGAAAGGGAGGACCTCCATTTACCAAGCACCTGCCAACGTGCCGGGAGGGTGACAAGCTATCTTACACTTAATCGTCACCACGATGCCAAGCCCTCCCGCTACACGGATGTCCAAGCCGAGGCTGGGAGGTCCCGTAGTTCTTGAAGGGCCTTCTGGACAAGAGTTAAATGGCAGGTGCCCAACTCCGAAACCACTGCTCTAATCCAGGGGTTGGCTGGCGGTGGAGAGTAGACGTTTTCGACTTTAGCCACCATGTGGCTTCTGTTGCAGCCGGTGATGCGTTCCTTCCGTTGTGCCACAGGCTGCCACAGACAACCACGTAGAACAGGCCTGTGTTCCAGTGAAACTGAAATATGGGCACTGAAATGTGAATTTCATAGCATTTTTCCATGTCCTGGAAGATTCTGCGTTTTATTTCCTGCCATTTAAGCGGGCAGAAACCATTTCTGGCTCCCAGGCCAGGCAAAATCAGGAGATGGGCTCGATTTGGCCCACGGGCCATCAGTAGCTGGCCTCCGCTCTCAGCCGGGGAGCAGGCTGTGTCCAGGAGTTCGCTGGCCCTCTACTACAAAACCTGGTCAAAAGTGCTCCAAAGGGAAGCGCGGACAGACACGCGGGTTCAGAAAACTTCCCCGCTCTCCATACATGCCTCCCCGGCCCTTTGAGAAAGTCCTCACCAAACCTGAAAACACGGATTAATTCATTTAAATTTGCAACAGCCATGGCAGGGAGGAGACGACATCCCCGCTTTGGAGATGGGGAAACCGAGGCACGGGACCGAGTCCTTCAGCGCAGAGCTGGGAACCTCCCACTCAGGGGAGCGTGGCCCGGAGAGCAGCGACAGCAGTGCCCCGCGGGGTCCGAATTCCAAGAGCGGACCAAGAGACAGAGGCCACCGCCACCTCCTTCGCGACTCCCGCGCCGGCCCCCCCCTTCCCGCGGGGCTGTCTGCGTCCGTCCAAACCCTCCCAGAGCCTCCGCCGTCCCCGGGAAAGCCTCATTTATGAAACGAAGTGGGTCAGGAATAACAAGCAGAGAATAAGCGCCGGGCCCCTGGTCGACGCTGCCGGTGATAGATGTCGTCGCGCAGCAAAGGCTCCCCCGGAACGCGCTGGCCGGCGGCCCCGTGTGTGAGCGATGAGGTGCCAGCACTCGGGAAGCCCAGAGTAAATAAAAGCCTCCGTGATCATGAGCAGGCCCTCGGAGAGCAGCGTGGCCCGGCAGGGCAGGCGTCCAGACGAGCCCCGTGCCAGGCGTAGCGATCACAGCGCACAATTCAGCCGCTGCCGGCCGGCCACGTCGCAGAATGACAGGGGTGACGGATGGCTGGGGGCGGGGAGGGGGGTCCTCCACCTGCCCTCATCAGACCAAACAACGAAACCATCTGCGGCGGGCAGGGTTGTCGGGAACGTCCAAACCCCACCAATTAACAAGGGCGGCGAGGACTGATGTCTCCGCAAGCCTGCGCCGGCCGGTTTGATTCATGGCCCAGATGCCAGACGCTCCCACCTCCTTTGAGAGGCGCCCAGGGGAGGCAGGGAGGGAGAGGAGGCGGCTGCTGTGTGCCTGGCCCTTCAGAAAACGTACCTGGTGGATTAAAAACACTCATAGTACACCAACAGGACCCCACTGGCGGCCAGCCTGCTCTATTCTTGACTCTCAGTGTCTGGGGCTGACACAGCCCTATTGTCCCCCCCACTCCCGGGCTTGGCCCGCTGATCTAGTCCTCGGATCTCCCTGCCGCGGGTGGTCACAGGGGCCACGGGTCCGGAGGTGGCCCCCATGGTGCTCCTGGGCTCCCGTGCCCCTCCACACCAGAGGCTTTGCTAGTTAACATATCGGAAGTCAAAAGTGGATTCTCAGAGGTGAGCACAATGGCCCGTTGACTAGCTTGAGAAATGTTGAAACGGGCTCTCTCGTTGGTGAAAGTCAAGGTATTAATACACACAAGGTCTGCAACAGACTGAGCTGTGTCCCCTAAATCCATAGGGTCAAGTCCTAACCCCTAATGTGACGGTATTTGGAGGTGGGGCCTTTGAGAGGTGACCGGGATCACGAGAGGTCATGAGGGTGGGGTCCCCACGATGGGGTCAGTGCCCTTATAGGAAGAGACAGAAGAGAGCCTACTGTCCCCTGTCCCCATCTTTCCGCCATGAGAGCAAGAAGGCAGCCATCTAGGGGTGCCTGGGGGGCTCAGTCGGTTAGGGGTCCGACTTCAGCTCAGGTCGTGGTCTCACAGTCCGTGAGTTCGAGCCCCGCGTCAGGCTCTGTGCTGACAGCTCAGAGCCTGGAGCCTGCTTCGGATTCTGCGTCTGCCTCTCTCTGCCCCTCCCTCATTTGTGCTCTCTCTCTCTCTTAAAAATAAACATCAAAGAAGAAGAAGAAGAAGAAGAAGAAGAAGAAGAAGAAGAAGGCGGCAGCCATCTACAAAGGAAGAAAAGGCCCCTCACCAGGAATCGACTCTGCCACTACCTTGTAGACTTCCCAGCCTACAAAACTGTGAGAAATAAATTTCTGTTGTTTAAGCCCCCCAGTCTACGGTGTTTGGTTACGGCAGCCTGAGCGGACTAAGGCAACACCACAGAGAGCCACCCTGAGACAGGCCTGGATGCCTGGGGATTCTTACATGGCCCCAGTCCTGTCCCTGGGCTGGGGGATTTCAGCTGCCTGCTTCGGGATGGCCATCTTATCTGCCTTGAGAGAGCCTTTCGCGCAAGGTGAGGCCTTCATCAAATGTCCGAGGCAGGTGACTAGGAGGCATCTGGGCCACGGAGAATCTTCGGGGGCCCCAGCGGACATGCAGAGTTCCCTACCCTGCTTAGGATGGAGTTCGAGCATTCTCTTGTTGTCTAGGGCTGGCAGGAGGGGCTGTGACCCGGGGCTTGGGGTCTGGGGCTCTACCCCATTTTACTAATGAGGACTGTGGGGTTGGCAGTTAAATCTCGTTAAGGGCAACGCCAAAGTTAGATTTTCTCAGTAGCTCCTCAGTCTTCTGAAGGTCAAGGTCCCTTCTAGAATCTGAAGGAAGCTGTGGCTCTTCTCCCCAGCAAAATGCACTCACACAACAACTTCAGAGGGCCCACAGGGGCCTGCCCTGGCCTCCCCAGCTGGCACTTCTGGTCTGCCACAGCCTTCCATGGGGGAGACAAGCAGCAGCCTGTCCCCAAGCTGACAGGGCCCCTCCCCCTGTGAGTAGGAACAGAATTCCCCAAACTCTGGTGGCCAGGAAGAGACAATCAAGTGTCTGTGAGCTTCAGCCAACAGCTGGAAAAAAACAAACTAAATTGACGTCTCTCCATGTAGGATCGGGTCACCCCATACACGCCAGTGCTGATTTCTGAATTGAACAGGAATTCCGAGGGTTTCCACCAGAGAAACAGCTTCTTGCCCCACGCCGTCCTTACACTCTGGATCCCCCGCTCTCCTGCCCTGCGAGCTGGTCGCTGCCTCCTAGAAACCTCTGGAAGCAATGTGCTCCCGCCTCCAGGGTCTCCACACTGCCCACTCACTGCTGCCTTCCACTTTCTCAGCCAGACCCACAGCAGCTCGGGCGGTCCGGGCTCCTCCCTGATGGGCACAGGGGACAGGACCTGAGGCACCACTGAGGGAAGACCCCACCTTGCGAGTCGCCTAGAACTTCTGGGTCTCTCTCGCGGGACAATGGCGTCTGCCACTTACATGGGTTTTTTTTGTAGGTCCGCAAAACGGGCCCAGTTCGAAACCTTCGCTCTCCACCACACGAGAAGGCTGGGGGGACCCAATGAGGTCAAAGACATGAAGAGACTTGGAAAAGACAGCAGTCGTCAACAAGAATTGTGATGTCTATGATTTTTTGGACGCAGCGAGGGGAGGGTCCCCTAGCAGCGACTGTGAGAATCTCTGAGGTGATCGTTTGCACACGTGGGCCAGGACTGGTGCTCACCTGGTGCCCCTGGCACGTCCCCTCCACACACACGTGTACACATGTATACACACACACACACACACACACACACACACACACACACACACACACACACACGCCAAACTACTTTCCATTTCCCGGCCTCCGCACATTTCGCGGAAGGCTCTCTGCTGATTGACAGGTGCACCTGTTTCCTGTGAAGTCACAATGAGGCCACGGGGGCAGACACCTTCTCTGCCCGGCCCCAGGGGCCGACCTGGAGAAAGAATCGCTGTTAAGCCTGCCCTTGCCACTCGGGACTTGGTGAGGGCCAGCTGGCTGCGTATGTGAGAGCCAAAGTCCACACCCGCCTTGCCTGTCCATTCTGGCCCCTGCACAGCTGCCCCAGAACCTTCCGCCGCTTCCCTGGGTGGGAGGGGGGGCTCGGGACTTGTGAGCCTCCAAGCTGAAGGGCGGGGCTCTCATTCATTCAATAAACAGCTTTGAGCACCTGCTCAAAGCTCCATTGTTGTTGCTATTGGTTCTCACTGCTATTGGGGGCCGAGGTGTCCTTTATGTGGGGAAACCAGGTGCCAGTTTTCAAAGAACTCCCTTGTGAACTGCCAGCAGGTAGGGCGAGCTGCCCTGAGGCCACACAGCTGGAAAGCTGGCAGAGCCTGGCTTGAACCCAGGCCCCTTCCCAAGCATTCAAGGACCAGAGTCCTGTTCTTGCTAGTGCATTCTCAGATCTCTGTCCATTACAGGTCTGTTGCCCTTAAACTGTAATCACGAAGGAGCCAGCAACACGGCAGACTAGAAAGCCTGGGCACCCTTCCACGATAGACGGCCAAAACGGCTGCATAAAATTTGACAAGCGTTGTTTACATGCACACACCGAGGTAAGTGACGTCACGTGGACGACACGCAAAGATGTTACAGGTTGCTAAACTCCCTTGTGTGCTTGAGGTTTTCCTGGGTTTAAGGCTCCGGTTGGAGGAGGAAGTAAGGCTTTGGGCCCAGAAGCAAAAAGGCAGAACCCTCAAGGGGCTGCGTCCCCCACCGTCAAAGGATGAACCAGAAAAATCTCCCCCTACGCACAATCCAGGAAAGAAGTTCGGGCTTCAGCGCGGGCCCTGGGGCAAAACCCTAAACAAAACAAAGGAAAGACTAATCGCCTTTCAGAGTGTGGAGCCAGGGGCCTCTCGCATAATTTTGGCTTGGGGTTCAAGTTCAGACGCAGGAATCCCCCAGTCAAGAACACACTGATGTAAGCATAGGAACCATGAAGGTGAATTCCCGGGGAAGCCTGGCTGAGGGAAACGCCAGCCACTCGGAGCGTCAGGCCCCAGCCACGGGGGTCTGCAGATAAAGTCCTGCTTAGCACGGGCTCACAGCCCAGAACCGCAAAGGCCCTAAGGCTCCACCACGACAGGAGACCCGATAAATTGCAGCGTCAGGCTCCGAAACTTCAGCTACTCGAACAATCTGATGGAGACTGTGAAATACGTACACTCGGAATGATTACAGATATAACCCACACCCGGAAGGTGGGCAAATTTTACACGATGCGAAACAGAACGGTGAGTGTCATAAAAAACCGATTAGAATTCCTTTGCGAGATACTAATAATTGAACTTGATAACTCAGAGGACCGGTTACAAATCAAGGATGTAATGGGGTGTGGGGATGGGGACAAAGAACGGGCAGAAGGACAGGGGGAAGGGCAAAAGAGATCCGCGGAGGAAGGGCGGGGACAGGAGAAGAGAAGCCGGGCAAAGGTGAGCATCACCGTCCGTCAGTCAGGCGGTCAGTGCACGCGTGTTAAGCACCGACACGTGTACTAAGCGCTGAGCGGCTGCGGGTGTGCGGACGACAGATAACAGGCTGACAGGTGGGTGAAGAAGGAGGGGTCGGTGGTGGAGTGGATGAAAGGTGTGTGATAGTTCGGGGGTGGGTGACGGGTGGATAGCGAGCAGGTGACGGGGAGACAGGGGATGGGCAGTGGACAGCAGACAGACACATGGGTGAACGGGTTGACGAGTAGGTGGATGAACGTGTAGATGGCCGGGTGGGTGGTTACGTGGCCGTGCAGATGAACGAGAGGTTGGTGAGGCTGGTGGGAGGGAGCCGGAGGCGCGAGGAGGCAGATGGGAGCGTGGGCACAGAGAGACGGTTGGGCAGGTAAGTGGATGGGTGTGGCTGGATGGTGAATGGCAGATAGGGTAGTTCAGTGGGGGTAGATGGTGGGGGGGGCAGGACGGTGGGTAGACGGAGGTGGTGGCTGGGAGGGTGAGTGGGTGTTGG